CAACACAATAACTTATGGATTTCAAGGTTTCTGCTGTAAACTATCTGATAAGAAACTATCATGGGGTATGATGATGCTCTCTTTTCTCTCACTCTTATAGATGTTAGTAACCCACTCCATGGTGCTGTATGGAATAGGGAATTTTGCTACATTATCAGAAGATTCTGAAATGATACCACTATTTTTTTTTATACCAGTCACTCCAGGTATAAAAAAAAGTCCTTGAATATCTTGAGTAAATTGAAGAGGTTTTTAAAAGCCAAAAGTTAGAGGAGCTTTTCAGATTATGAATGCCATGTAGCATCCTACTGGATTTAATTTATAAGTAAGAAAACAGCAGCTTCCATGACCCACCTAAGCCAAAAACTTTCTTGGTCTTAGTTTCTTTGCATTTTAATGTAAATGAAAAAAGTGCCAGTTTATTGATGTATAAGAGGACTCTTAGCATTACATATTTAAATAGTTGTCAAAATTCACTGAGTTGAATAGAAAACATGCTTAATTTATATTAAAGTAGTAATGTGTTGTCATTAATACATGGATGTATTGTATTAGTAAATACTGAAAAGGAAAAACTTATTTCTACAGAGGATTCATCTTGGCAATAGTCATTTTATAGGAGGCTAATACTACCTACCTTCAAAAATATCTGGATCCACTTTAGTGAAAGTTTCCCAGTTGGACACTGTCATGCACCCCTTTCTCCTAGAAATACATAGGAATCTACTTTGTTATTTGAGTGTTGGAGCAAGCTCCAAAACCTACACATGTGGTGAATGGAAGCCACTGGTGGGTATATGTTTGGTTCTTGCATATGGCCAGGGATCTAGCAGGATCAGGCCTAAGGAAATGGGTTGTACTCAAGGACAAAGTCTACTGGCTGATGTCCCCCTGGGAGCAAACACTAGGACCTGGCAGCCACCAAGGACAGAAGGCATTGGCTGATTCCCTTGTACTTCTTGCAACACTGCCATGGCAGCAGCAGTGGCATCCTATTCTACCCTCGCATCCCTGTGGAAACCTTGTCAGTAGTCCTCCAGGCTCAAGACCAAAAGAGCCAGTCGGCTCATGCCAAGCTGTGATTGGTCTATTGAAGCCATTGTGAACAGTCTCTGCAATCTATTACAGTGCTGGAAGTTCCTGGTGACCTGCATGACTCAGTGCTACGTTGACAATCGTGTGTGTATGTGTGTGTGTGTGTGTGTGTGTGTGTGTGTGTGTGTGTGTGCGTGCGCGCGTACTTTTTGGGGGCAGTGGGAACTTTGTGTTGTTTGGGTTTGGGTATTTCCTTTTGGTTATTGCTCTGGGGTTTTTATTTTCTTAGGCAAGTTTAGGTAGATTTACTCTTTGCCATCCTAGCAGAAAGATGGGAGAACACAGTGAATTATCCTCAAACTCTTTAGAGGAGGAGACCTTAATTGAGCAATACATTATGAAGAAGATCATTGGCTATGGCAGGATGAGATTTTCATTGAATAATACAGTGTGAATGCAATCATTGGCTATGGACGGAAGAGGTTTTCACTGAACAATACAGTATGAAGGAGATCATTTGCTATGGTAGCTATCCAAATGTAAATTTGACCTAGCACCACCTCATAAACCTCAAGATGGTAGTGAAGGGAGAGTTCAACAATTGTCAGATCAAAATTGAGATGGATATTATTAAGACTTTCCATTACAGACACATGATCAGGTCGTACCAGGTGAGGGAGAAGGATGAGCACCAATACTTGGTAATGGAACTGGCCACCCAGAGACCTCCTGAGATAAATGTGAAAATCATACCGCCTATTCAATAATTAGGTTGTTCAAACAGACTGTGTGTACTGTGCATTACTTTAACAAAAATAGAAATGCACACTGAGACCTGAAACCCAATAGCATCCTGTTGGATGACAAATGCAATGTGAAGGTCAATGACTGTGGTTGCTTAAGGACATATTTGGTACCTTGATTTTTGTCCCTATAAAATATTCCTGCAGGGCTGGGAAGGTGGCTCAGTGGTAGAGCGCTTGCCTTGCATGCATGAGGCCCTGGATTCAATTCCTCATCACCACATAAGCAGAAAAAAAAGCTGGAAGTGGCACTGTGACTCAAGTGGTAGAGAGCTAGCCTTTAGCTGAAGAGCTGAGGAACAGAGCCCAGGTCCAGAGTTCAGACCCCACGATTGGACCCCCCCAAAATATTCCTGCATGAAAACCACAATGGCTGCAAAGTAGACATCTGGTGCTTGGGAGTCATCTTTTGTATTTTATGGAGATGGCAAATTTCCCATTTGAATATATGAATTTTAGCCAGATACAGATAATTGTCTTGGAGGTCACGTATATTGCTCCATTCACCTGTCTCCAAAAGGACAAAATATCATCTTGAAACTGTAAACTGCAGACTCAAAGCATAGGCAGAGTATAGAACAAATAATGGAGACTAGCTCAACCAAGTCGAGGAATATTTCTTTTTTTTTTTTTTTTTCAATCCTGAGGTTTTAATCCATGAGTGTTTCTTTCAAACTGTTTAATTTATTAAAAGAATTTTGTACAAAAAGAAACTAAGAAAAAGGATCTAAGTATACTGAAAATTGCATATTGTCCCTTTTTCTTCATTTTTCATATAAAAAGATGTTATTTAGCGGGTTCTTCTCTTCATTTTCTCTCTTGTTCGTTTTCCAGGTCTCTTATTCGCTCCTTTCTTCCCAGGCCTTTTGAGGCCCTTGCCATGAGCTACCTTGGCCCGGAAGCTGGATACATCATCGTAGCTTTCTCGAGTATTCCATTTGGTACCTTTCTTCTTTCCACCAAAACCAAACTTTTGGTTTTTATACCGTCGTTTAGCACTGGGACCCTTCTTCATGTTCTGGCCTTTAGCTCCTGCCTTTGTGGCCTTTGTGGCCTTTGTGGCCTGTGCAACAGGTTTCTCATCTCCCTCAAGAAAATCCAGTTTATCAGAGAAGCCTTTTTGGTACTTCTTGATGGCATTCATCATATGTGATTTCTCCTGCTGCCTCTTCTGAAGAACCTGTGTTTGCACCCTCTTTCCATATTTCCTAAGTGCTCTCAGTTGCTTAGCTTTTTCAGACTTCTCCATGGCAGCCTGTTTAGCTTGTAGCTTCTGTCGAATCTTTTGCATGTGCTGATCAGTCTGCAAATTCTGCAGACATAGCAAAGCAATCCTGGGCAACTGGTGTCTTTTAAGTAAGACAGTTCCTTGTATGTACCTTTAAGCAAGCACAGGGGTCAAAATGACGTTTGAGCTTTACTGTCAGCTCCCAAAGGCTCCCAACATCTCCCCAGTCTTTGTTTAAAGAAGCAAACCCACCTGTCTTAGGTTGGGTGGACCACCTTGTCTGCCTTACCCGTCATTGGGAACTTCTTCAAAGCGAAGCTGAAGGCCCTGTCTTAGGTTGGTCAGACTGACACCCCCTCTTATCCATCTCTGGCTTCGATTCCTCTCGGGGAAATTTATTCACTTGGAGCTTGATCTTATGTAACTGGCTGGCTAAGCTCATTAGAGTTTTGCAAGGAAGTCATAGAAAAACCATCAGCAAAAGCATTACCAGGCCAAAAAATGTCATTAGCAGTCCTTTTACATTAGTCAAGGATGGGATAGCAGTCTTTGCCACTTCAGAGTCCAGAGGGGGGGTTTGTTCTAATCCAGCTATTTGCCTGTGGGGTTGAAAAAGATCTAAACTGGAAGCATAACAAAAAGTGGTTGTTTAGCAATAAGTATGGATTCAATAATGCTGCTATACGAGCAATTAGTAAAAGAACAATTACAGCAGGTAACATTAAAATAATTGGCTCCTACAGAAATATTAAACAGTCGATACATAATGACATAGGGTGGTGATCAAAATGAAGGTCAGGCCACCAGGTCGAAGGGACAGCTTCTCTTGTGGTGCTATTGATGATTTCTGCATTGCCAGTGCTGATCATTGCCCAGGTCACCCATTGAGGTTGATGCAGATTCCATAGGGCCACTGCCAAGACTGGGAGGGCCAGGACAGCCAACAGCTGGAGTATCAACAACTGCAATTGTTAGAGAACACAAGAGCTTCTCAAGGGTTGGTTGCCCTTGGGGATGGTTAGTAGTTATCTTTCTGGCTTTTCTCTTTTAAACACAAGCCTCAGCCACCATAGCCATTTTTCTTTCCTTGTTGGTTAGCTTATCCTTAGGCATCCTACTGTATAGAGGAGATTGGTAAAAACTTAAGGTTCCTGGCAGGGATCCAAATGGGGGCTGTCTCCCCTATGGGAAAAATGAATCCAAATCCCCTGCCCATAGTAACTAGGGGGTCAGGTCTTCTCCATTTTTGTGTCAGGGGGTCCTTCCACCTGACTTTCACTTGGGGCTTAGAGTTTAGTTGTCCCCATTGCTTCCATAATCTGGATTCAGTTGCCCCTTTTGAAAAATTTAAAATGTTAACGGTAAGCAAAACTATCTGTAACTGTATATGGGGACTAACTCCCCCTTTTTGTTTTAATAATTGCTCCTTAAGACATTGGTGATTTCTTTCTATAATTGCTTGGCCTTGGGGATTATAAGGAATTCCTGTAGTATTTAATGTGCCATTTGTCAAAAAACTCGGACATTGCTTAACTAACAAAAGAGGGTCCATTATGGGTTTTAACTTGTGCTGGTAGACCCAAGGTGGCAAAGCATTGAAGAAAATGTGCTTATGAATGTTTAGTTCTTTCTCCTGTATATGATGTGGCCCACCATGCTCCTGAGTAGAATCTATAGAGACAAAGATATATTTAAACTTGCCAAAAGCTAGGAAATGAGTAACATCCATTTGCCAGAGGATGTTAGGTTTAAGGCCTCTGGGATTTACCCCTGGTGGTTGTAATGGGGGTACTTTTAAGAAGGGCTGGCATGTTTTACAGGTATGTAATATCCTTTTGAGGTCCTTTACAAGAATCTGAGGAGATCTATGCTGAACACCTCTCCAATTAATGTGGGTTAAATCATGCAAACAGGTAGCCTCTTGTAACATTAATACTTGCATGCAAGTCGCTAATTGGTCTGCCCAATTATTGCCTAGGGATAAAAACCCAGGAAGTTTTGAATGCCCTCTCAATTGCTGAATATGAATAGGGGCTCCCGCCCTTCTAATAGGCCTTTAAGGATAACCATAAGAGGGGAAATATTGTTTTCATCCAGCTTACTATGTGCCTGGGGAATATGAGGAAGCAAGTTAATCATATATAGGCTATCAAAATACAAATTAAAGGGTTTTTGAATGTCCTGAAGAGCCATAATTATGGCCTGCATTTCTTTATATTGTGCTGACCCTTGACAAGGTTGAAATCTTTGTTGGCTCGGGGTCTTTTGTTGCTCCTCAAAGGCTGCATATGCAGAGCCTGCTTTACCTCCATCAGTAAAAACATGGAGGGCTACAAGTTTAGGTTTGGTCAATGGCCACTGCTCCACCCAGATAGGGCTTCTGGGCTTCTGGGGACAGTGGCCTTTAGGATTGGGGGTGCACCGAGCGGGTCCCCTATGTTCTTCTCTGTAATTATGAAAGTTAAAAAAATCCTTTTCCTTAACTCCCTCTAGATCCTGTTTAAGCCTTTGTGCTTCTTCTCCATCCAGGATATCATCATAGGCTGCTCAATGGTCTGTAGTGACCACGACTTCCATTTGTCTTAGCATGTCTTGCCCTAGTAAATTGGCAGTGAGGTTTTTTGCCACTAAAGGGCATATCTTTCCCTGTTCTCCATCTGGGCTAGTCCATTTCATAAGGGTGACTGTCTCTTTGGACTGGGAGTTGCCCCCTACCCCCCAATATTGGGGGCCCATGTGCAAGCTTAAAGTCCAAGGGTACTTCCTCCTCCCTGAGTATGGTTTGATCTGCCCCCATGTCAATTAAACAGTGAAACCTCTTTCTGCCTATGAGAATACTCATTTTAGGGTGGATTCCTTCTACCAGGGGGACGGTCCAATGGACCTCGGTCACCCAGCCACGAGGCTGCCTGGGCCTCACAGCAGAGGGGGTTCCTCCTTGAGTTAACGGGGCTGGAGGATGCCCCTCCCCTAGTTTAAACGCTTCCCATTTACAAAAAATTTGGATCAATAATCCTTTTTCCAATGGTACCCCTTCCTGCACCTGGGGGAGGGTGTAGGGGGCGGTTTGGACCACCCAGGCCGGTTGTCGGAGGGATTGTTGTGAATAGTCCCTCTTAAAGTGCCTCTTCTGCCCATATTTAAAACAAGTCCCTCTCCCCATTGGTCCTGGAGTTCCTCGGCCCTGGGCTTCCAGTGCCTGGGTAATAGCCTCAGTCATAGCAGATGTCTGAACCTGTAAAGCTAAAGCTAATGATTGGGACTGGTCCTGTTGCATTACCACATCCTGTGAGGCCACCACCCATCTGCTGAGGGAACTCTCTCTCAATCCCTTGCAGGCCATGTGGTGGTCTGCATTCATCCCTTCCCAGACTAGCAGCTTTATAAACTGATCTCGGAGGTTTCCTGCTGGCAGCTTGTGGTTAATACTCTGTTAGAGTTGGTCTACAAACTCAGCTAGAGGCTCACCCGGTTTTTGTCTCACTCCTGCTATGGGGGACTCAGTAGTCTAATCATCCAGTTTGTACCAAGCAGCAAGTCCTGCCTGCCTCACCTGGTCACAGTATGGGCCAGGTATTGTGGCCTGTTGGACAACCAGTGTAGTACCCTTCCCCCGTCTCTGTTAACATGGCATAAATAATAGGTATCACGGGTTATTCTCTGCTTTCACTCTGCATTCCCCCTTAAAGAAAGCACACCGTTTAATAAACTGAGAACTAGTAAGGACAGCTTTGGCCACATCCAGCCTAGGGACACATGGGTAAAAAGCAATGTCCTGTAATAGGGTTTGAGCCCAAGGAGAATTTGGGCAGTACTCTGCCACCACCTTACAGAGCTCTTTAAGATCCTTAGCTTCCCATGGATACCATTCCAAGGGCCTATAAGCTCCTGGTGCCAGAGTGACCGGATATGCTTAGAGAAGTGAATTCTGTGGCTTAGGGTCCAGGCTTTCCGGTGGCCCTTTACTTCCAGGGTCGGCCTCCGAGTAGGTTACTTCCCCAGCCCTCGGCCCCTCCATGGAAGGTCGGTAGGGGTCCGAGTCTTGCAGGTCCCTCTCATAGGTCACGTACCTCCTCTCCAATCAGGGGAATAGGGAGGGGGCCTAGGACCATCAGGGGCACCTGAATCAGAGGGTGTAACCTTCACCCTTGTTTTGACTTCCACTGTGTATGTTTCAGTGCGTTCTCCGTCAAATTTGACCCATTCCTTTTCTTTCTCACTTCCCAAGTCCTAATCCTCCTTTACTCCTTCTAAGCCTAATGTTGCCTCCTCCTCCTTCTTCTGTGAGATAGTATTACCCATACTAAGGGTTTCACTTACCCTGAGAGACCACTTAGCCTCGGCCGGTATCTTTTCCTTTCGTGCCCCACGTTGGGCACCAGATGTCGGGTCTTCTTCCATCCATCCCATGAAAGATGGACAGGGTCCGAGGAAAGGTAAGTGCGGCTGGCCACAGACCCATTCCCCAGCCTCCCTCAGCCCAGGAGACAATCAGACGCAGCGGGAGTCATCAAGCAGGAAAACTCATTTATTAACACAGAGCAAGCCATTTTTAAAGCAAAAAAGAGTGGGTGGCATGGCAGGAAAGGAAGAGAAACCAATCATTGTCAAGGCCACACCCTATCATGCACCTAAGCTTCCATGGGCTATTTACACACTGAACATAAAGCAAATTGGGCTCTGCCTATTCACCTCCCTCTCAGCACCATCTTTGCTGCCCACGTGCTCTACACACACACACACACACACACACACACACACACACACACACACACAGTATATATATACATACATAGTATGTATATATTTCACAAATATATTACATATTAAATATATCATATAATATTATATATGTAAAAAATGCACAATTTTGGAGATGATATGTCATGGAATTCTCTGCCTTTGCTTTAAGACAACATTGTCCTCATCTCAGCTTCCTAAGAATCTAGGATTATAGACCGGGACTAGGCAAAAAAGATTTCCTTTTAAATGCTACCGAGAGCCTGTCTTTAATTTCCAAGAAACACTAGAAACTTGAAGATAATAGAATGACGAAGTGAAATAGAACAC